GCTTAAACTGCTTTAATAAACTCTTAACACATTCAGTAGGCTGTACCTGGACAGATAGGCTCAGGGAAGATAGTCCCACCCCCAGCATGCTGTAGTTTAATTGTCCATGGAAACAAACCCCCACTTTGACTCCTTGGCCCAGAGCAGTGTTCCAGTCATCACTACCTTCTCCCCATCCCCTCTGGGGGTCATAACCCCAGGCCCCTTGCAAGTTGTGTGGCTACAAAGCAGCCTATTTAGCACCACACAATAGCTCAGGGAATCCACCTGGGAACCTTCGGTGGCAGCCACAATCTAGCCTGGTCTCCAAACTGTCACAGTTCAGGGTCAGTTCAGTCAGCACTGTTGGGTACTCCAGTGATGTACAGAATTCGGCGTTACAGAATATTTTGGAAATGTAGGCGTGGGAAACTAATCAGTTGGCAAACAGTTTTTAGGGTATGTGGGGGAAGGCAGCAGGAGAGTCTCATGTCTGACTAGTGAATAACTGATGATACTTTAAAAGATCTTGGTTTTAGCACAAGTTTTCCCTATGTGCTTGTGCACTGCTGTTTCGGTGTGTAGATGCCTAAGCCACAGAGTGATGCACCAACCAGAGAAAGATAGGCATTCCTTGCCTGACGAGTCTGATCTGATACATCTGCTCAGAGCTCACCTGAAGATTAGGCCATGATGCAAATCTGCAGAATACAGCCAGGAGTTAGAGCACTCTCCTAGGATGTGAAACATCCCCAGTCAAGTTCCCTGTCTGTCCAATGAAGAGAAAAGATTAGAATTAGTATCTCCTAGTTGTCAGGAGGAAACCCTAATCACTGATTTATACGATATTTTGATATGGCATCCCCGTCGAAGCTGTTCTACTGTGAATTGATAATGAAAGAGTCCTTGACCAGAGAGAATGAGCAAGGATGAGAATTGACTCTGTAACTTGGTGGTTAGAATGGTCACCTGGGAGGTGAGAAATACAGAATCTAGTCCTCCTATGCCCATGAATTTTGTAATAGTTTATTCAAATGGATTAGCTTTAACAGGAGAGATTGACCCACATCAGAATATCCCATAGCCTAGTAGGTAAGTCACTCACCTGAGAAATGGCAGATTTATGTTCAAATCTCTTCTCATTCGGCAGAAGGAGGACTTGAATTGGGGAATCTTCCACATCCCAGGCTAGTATCCTACTCTCTGTGCTAAAAGTTATGTGGAAGGACTGCCCCTCCCCCTGGATCCTGTCAAAAATGGCTTTGGCAGCTAATATCAAAAGTGTCTGCAGCTGAGACTTAAGCAGAAGGAGGTCCTGAACTCAGAGTAGCAGGGCTTAGGACACATTCTTTGCCTCTGTATCTCCCACTGGATCATCTAGGTTGGGAGCCACCTATTATGAGGGTTTTAAAAATCCCCTTTAGAGGCACATATTTGTCTCCACTCATTTTATAGGGATCTTAGTGCCAAACTCAGGCTTTGTGAATCCCAGCAATTTTGCAGGCACTGTGGCAGAGTGTTGCCATGCCAAAATTTATTTGTGATACTAGCCTCATGCCTGACTGGTTAATCCTGCAGAACAGCACTTATTCTGAATTTAGGAACCTTGTGCCACATGGGCGCAAGGTTTCAAAGTTCAGAAACAAGTACTGTTCTGCAGGATTTATAGCTCTACATCATCGTGTCCTCCTGTTGCTTGTGCCACCGTTGGGTAGCAGTTTGGTACATAGAGTGCCAAGCACCTCAAGTCTAGGCCCATTTTATAAATGTGGAAATGAGGCACAGAAAGGCAAAGTAACTTACTAAAGGTCACATAGAAAGTCTGAGACAAAGCAGGGACTTGAACCCAGCTTTCCCATGCCCCAAGTCAGTGCCCCAGCCACCAGTCAGTCCTTCCTCTTTATAGTGCTACTGGCTTTATTTATTTTGCTGGTGTTTCTAAGTTCAGGAAATAAATATAGTTGCTTGATACTTTGTAATTGTGGGAAGGGGTGCTGGAAATATGGAGACTTATTTGTGTATTTGTTTTATACATTTGAATAACTCCGGGAGCACCTCTTCTTTAGAGAGGTTGTGGATCTCCGTCACTGGAGATATTTAAGAACAGGTTAGTCTGACATCTATCAGGGATGGTCTGGTGGTTGGCCCTGCTGTGGGGGCAGGAGACTGGACATCATGAACTCTGAAGGTCCCTTTGAGTTCTAGTATTCTATGATTCCTCTCAGCCAATTTAATACTTGTTCAGTTCTGTCTCCTTATATTGCACAAATGTGAATATTAGGACAAATAGCAACTCTGGCAGGAAGGATTTACATAATGAGTCATTGATCCAGTTGTCAAAATTAGCATCGTTTTGGGTTTTTCACTTTTCAGGTGCTTCTCAAATACCCCCAGTATTGGATGTGCTACAAGAACTGATCTAGAGTTACTCCCTTAAGAACAGCTTCTGGAGACAAAACTTCCAATAGTACTTCCTCCTTCCATGCCAAGTGTTCGGAATGATGGTTGGGGGGGAATGTCATTAAGGCACAAACAACTTAGATAGTTAACTCTGGGTATGTCTACACTACAAAGTTAGTTCGAACTAACGGACGTTAGTTCGAACTAACTTTCATAGGCGCTACACTAGCTCTCCGTTAGTTCGAATTTAATTTGAACTAACGGAGCGCTTAGTTCGAACTAGGTAATCCTCATTCCATGAGGATTAAGCCTAGTTCGAACTTACTAGTTCGAATTAAGGGCTGTGTAGCCCCTTAATTCAAACTAGTGGGAGGCTAGCCCTCCCCAGGTTTCCCTGGTGGCCACTCTGGCCAACACCAGGGAAACTCGTCTGCC